TTCCCCAAACTGTCTCGTCTAGTCGCGTGCATGTGTGATATGAGCATGCGCGATTTTGTAGTCGAGAGTCCTTTTGTCAGTCTTCTTGTTCGTCTCTGTCAGAGCAGTTTGCTTTTCCGTCTTGTCAATATACTTGTAAATAGTGTAACAAACAAGTATTGTCCTTTGTGCCCTGCATCCCGGGGAACGGAATGGCTGTGAATCCGTGACAAGCCAGATCTATCCTCACATGTGACTCTTGCGGGGCGCAAAGCTACAATTGTAGTGTACATTTGTATATACCTTGAAGTAGCTGGGAAAGAACTTGGAAACGTGACTGCGTTACATCAGTAGCCCCTAACGAGTAGCCTTCATAAGGTCCTAGAGAACGACCTTTCGTGACGCGCAATTTTCTACAATAATGTGATTTTGGATTAAAAGAAAGGACAAATGTTACGAGTTATGAATAACTTGCTACCAATGTAACCAGATGATATTGTCAACGAGTGATAAATAAAGGCACAAACTAACAAGGAGTACTGAGACATTCGACGTCCTGACACCTAGCTGCAACACGTCTACGAGTTACAACCCAACAACCTTCCCACTTCGAAGACCGGTATGTCCAATTGTCTTACCAACTTAGTTTCGTCATCATCCAGTAACTTTCGGCATTCTCTGTTGCCTTGGTACTTAGCTCCTTTTCTTCTTCGTTGCGCTTTCCTTCCCCTCTTGGACCTTTCCTAACCTGAGCCTTCCAAGTTGGAAAGTTGTTGGTTTGCACCTTTTAGAAGTGTTGGAGCTAGGCGTCAGGCCGTCGAATGTCTCAGGACTCCTTTTCAGTTTGCGCTCTTTTGTCGCACTCGGTGACTGCATTATCTGGTTACGCCAGTGGACAGTAAAAAATAATCATAAAGTAATGAGAATTGTTGTACACATACATGTAAAAGAATCGTGATCAAAATCTACAAATACGCAAGTCTAGAAATCCGTTTAAGCTCAAAACATAGTTATAATAATAAATTTCATTTTTGCTATCCATCAGCACTCGGCCGAACGCCGGAGATTGACACCCACCCACCTGGCTAGCACGCAGTAACCAAAGGTGCGACCATGCATCATTATTAAATGAATGTTAAATGATGTTAGAAAAACAACGGAGTAAAACCCGCAACACATTCTAAAACAGGAGAAGGACAAACTGTTACGACAAACTGTCCACCAGCGTGACCAGATCATAATTATACAGTCAGCGAGTGCGGCAAAATGGCAAAAAAACTGACAAGGAGTACTGAGACATTCAGTGACCCGACACCTAGCTCCAACACTAAGTCTTATCCAAGACGCAAACCAACAACCTTCCAACTTGGAAGGCTCAGGCTCGGAAAGGTCCAAGAAGGGAAGGAAAGCGCAACGAAGAAGAGCACGAGCTATGCCCTACGGCAACAAAGAATGCCGAAAGTTATAATGAATGATGACCAAACTAGTACTACAGTAGACTATTGGACACACCGGCTTTATTATAACTCGACGACGCAAGGCAACAGACCACCCAACACGTAGGAGGCTCAAGTTTATGTAATAAGCATAGAAGGAGAAGCTAAGCGTAGACGAATTGTGACAAACCAAAACGCCAAAATCCTGCTGAACTCCACTATTATGTAAAATATGATGGACTAGCTTAGAAGTTGCGACTTCGGCGGTAATAGTCATGAAGTTGATTGTTCCAACTAGGAACACCCGCTTCTTGCCGAACTTCTGGAAAGAAGCGTGTGTTCCTAGTTGGAACAATCAACTTCATGACTATTACCGCCGAAGTCGCAACTTCTAAATTCGTATTGTTGTCCCTCACGCGGACGTGCGACTAGTTGTTGGAGGTGACAGCGTTGTGAATAGCTATAAATACTGGCTCTCAACGTCTGTTTAGCACAACTCCATGAGCGACTCTGACTCACGCTGCTACCTGGGGCTTCACGAGGTGTTTGTCGCGCTGGAAACAAAGCGTCTCTGTAAGTTTGTATCCCTGGTGATGTTTGTGCCTGGAGAGCACTATATAAGTGGTGCTCTTCAGGCACAATCTTCCTCAGCCTACTCAAGCTCAACTGATGAGGGGTGAATTCCCCGAAACACTGTGTATTGAGCAGGGAGTGGTGCTTTCTTGCAGGTTTGCCGAGTGGAAGGTGCGACGTGCTCCTCGTGTGCTCCGGATGGCAGTCGTGAGTCAGTCAAGTGTCAAGTTCGGCAAGAAGCGTGTGTTCCTAGTTGGAACAATCAACTTCATGATGGACTAGTTATGTACAATAACAAGTAGTTCCACACGACGTACGTTACCTTCGCATAAGCTGTTGCAAGGAATCAAACCAAAAGTCACATCTGAACAAGCATAGGATTGTAGTGCTGACGAAAGGAAGAACACTGAACACATGATACTTCAGTTCACGCACTTAAGTAAGTTGAGAGGAATAATAATAATAATACCATAGCACGCGTACAAAGGCCAAAGAACAATGCATGAGAATACACTGAAATTAAGCCAAGTCCGCTTCTGTCTCCAGTCAACAAAAAACTCATCCATAAACAATGTCTGATCTCCATTTCGACTTGTCTGCAGCAAGTGCTCGTGCTCCTTCTAGGTCGCTGGCACTCTTCAAAGGAATGTCGTGCCCTGCCAGGTCCTTCATGATGGTGGTAGGGAGAGTAGCCGCGGGACGGCCCCTTCGTCCACGTTGAGAGGAATCAAAAGCATTTATGCTGTAACTCTGAGTTTCACGGTTTTAATTAACTGATCATCAGACAACTTGAAACGTGGAGTTACAGTAGCAATACCGTTCTTAATTAATTCCTGTCAAGTGTGTGCACTAGGCTCTGCTCCTTGGTGTATTGAGTTCTGTCACGAGCAGCCACAACTCCCAGCGAATGATACTGCAGTTCTTGAAGAAGCCAGTGTTCACACGTTTCCAGTAGTTGGCTGTTCGTCTTTGCACAGTGTATGCTATTATTAGTATTATTATGAAATGACCCAAAGGCAATATGCCTATCGAGGGGTTCATTTGATTGAAAGAAAAGTACTACTACTAGTACATGTAGATGTATGTACAAAGACAAGTAGGGATTGATGAGGAGAGAAATGGGAAAAATCAACTGCATAGTCCCTCTTGTCTCACCTCTAGCTTTCATTTTCTCTCTTTCCTTTTTCATTCTCTCCTGTGCAAAGGTCTTAGCTACGTGCAAATGTATCACCTAGTTGTGATGGTTACCAGCCTTGTGATGCTATTTATACAACGTTTCATTGGTTCTGGTTGCTTGGAATTGCATTTCAAGAGAAGGCCCGAAACCTGGTTCATGAATTTATGAGTCCTAATTGATGCTGTAGGTGGTAGTGAGAGAGCTCGTGATTTGTAGTGTTTCTTTCCTTGATTCTTGTCTTGTCTAGTATTGTATTGTTTTGATATTTGGGCACCCTGAACTGATGAGGAAAGAATAATATCTCACGATGTCTTCCAAGTTCTCATCCGCAGATACTCCGTGCATGTACATGATTGTATGCTAAATGCATGGCTTGAAGTAGTGAGGATGCCCCCTGCACACTGGTCGAATCGACGATGAAATCCGATCGAGGTAGTCAGCTTGGCGCCCTGCACCAGTGATGATTCCAGTATGTTCAGGTCTGGGGCTTCGCAGCCCCCGGCTCAATCTTCACTCCGGTGATCGGATTTCACAAAGCAGCACTGATCATGCATCATGACAGTCTGTAGACTGTACTTGCCACAAGGTCCTGTATGGCTCTGCTCGGGATTTCCGTGACCTTAGGGGTCGTCCGCAATTATCGAAAGTTTTTTCCAATCCGTAGTAGCTTCAAATTTTTCCTCACCCACCCACCCACCCCCCCAGTCCGTAATAAAATATTATTGATGGACACACAACGCAACACATATGGAACAAACTCAATCAGTGCTGGTCCATCCTTGTTCGTCGTCTTGGACAACTGCCACAAGCAATTTATTGTTCTGTAATAATCAGAGTCACCAGCGGTTTCGAAAAAGGGCTGCTTCTTCACCGCCTTTCCAAACAACGTCGCCTGTCTGGACATAGTCAATAACAGTCGTCAGCGCCAGCGCTAGACGGAAGGACTTCAAAGGAGTGCATGGAAGACGGTACTCTGGACGAAGGAGACAGTGAAACTCAAAAATAGAAGGTGTCGACTCGCCGTCGAATGCGCCGAACTTTATGATCCCCGGCCCAGGAGGAGCAGCCAAGGAAGCGCGCGCGGGGGCGCAGAAACTGCCAGAACTACAAAAATATTATAAGTAGTAGACAGTTCGCGCGCAGCCGCGCGTGGAAAACAGGGGCTACACGTAGACGTACACGTGGCACGCGCACGTGTCATTTCGGAAGTTTTTCAATCCGTAACTGGCCTTGACCCACCCACCCACTTTCGAAGCTACTACGGATTGGAAAAAAACTTTCGATAATTGCGGACGACCCCTTAGTTGGGCAAAATACGGTTTGTTTGGCTCAACTGAACATACGGAGACGATACGCCGCAGTTGTCAGCAGACCAGGGCTATGACGGGGGTAGACGTGCTGTAGCTGTCGGAGCTGAGCTACATGTAAGTCTGAAGTTAGTTTGTATGGGACAAAACAGTGAGACCCCACCTAGCTACACACCATGACTCCATGAGTCATAGCATTGTCGATGTTTCAAGCAAGTGTTTACCATGGTTTACGGTGAACAAGGAATACACAGCACTGCGGCGAGGCCTCTTCTTCAAAGTTCTAGCTCTGTGGCTTTGCCCGAGATCACACATGTGCGTAGATGCATTGCCGCACGTGATGGGTCGGTCTCTCGCACAACATGCCCAAGTCACGCACGGGCATCCATCTTGCCAAAATAGCGCGAAACGGACAGCATAGCACATGAATGGGATTATGAGCCCTGACGGCCTGAGCATGCTGCTCGCATACAAACGATCCGTACAGCCATAGTCACATTGTGTGATCGTCTGATAGAAATTGCGCATAGTCACGCATGATAGAAAGGAGCAGTTTCCTCGTTTGAAGCAAGTGACGAAATTAAATATAATCACCCCACGCAGATCTATGTCCAGACTTCCTCGCCATTTTCAGACCCTGATCAGTTCCTTTGATTGCTATCCAGACCACCCGCTTCCATTCATCCGCGTCCAAAGAGTAGTAAGACTGGTCCGGGAGGAAGGAGGGAAAGAAGGAAGGAAGGTATTGATTGTGAAGACCTGAAAATCGGACATGCGCTAGGAAACAAGGTTGGCCGACTGAAACAAGGTTTGAAAGGGGACCAACACCCGAAGCCATGAGGCGCTGGCTGGCGCTAGCATTTCTGATCGTCGTACTAGTGGCGATACTCAGTCTTGACGATGCGGAATCGTCGAGGAGGCGACGCAGCGTGCGCCGCTATGCGTCGAGGAGGGTGATATTCACCGGTCGGCGAAGGTACATACCAGTTAGACGCGGACGCTACGTGCGCACGACGCCGCGGAGAGTGGTTCGCAGCACAAGGCGGTACCGACGAACTGGAACCTGTAAGTGGGGGGGGGGGGGAACATTATTGAAGACATCATTTGAAGTACAACACACGAGTAGTACCGTACTGGCAATATATGTTGCCGCAGTGAGGCCATGAAGCGTTACATTGGCACATGTTTGCCGCACGCAGGGCGTTACATGCAAAGTCGCACAGGAGCCGTTACACAGGTTTCTATATTGCCGCAGTCCTTTTTTTGCTATTGCCGCATCACTTTTTTTTGCTATTGCCGCATCATTTTGGCGGTGCCGACGAACACGCTTTCTCGTTTGCTCACGAACTTTCTTCTGCTTCACTAAAACTTTCTTTGCACGATCAGCAGCAATCCTGTTTTTCGTCTCCTTTCTCTCCTCATCCTTTCCTTTTTCACTTTCCTTGGGCGTGATTTTCTTCACGCCGAAGGCGAATAGAGACTTCTGCATTGTCACAAGGAAACTGGTAAACACATCGCTCTTCTTCGCAAAACGACCTCGGGAAAGAAGAAACCATTGAGATCGCCAACCACTGAATGATGCGCCTTCGAGTGTCAGGACTTCCTGCTGCGTCCAGTTTTGAACTTTTCACCACGCGGTGCACGTGCTTTCACAGTTTTCAGCCTTTTTTTGCAGTGCAAACTGCAATGAAAAGATCGCCGCACCCCGCCGGACGGGCGTTACGAAGTCAACGAAAATTTGTCGCACTAGCCTGGTCGCGCGTTACGCCGCACCCCCCTGCGTTACGCGTTACGCGGCAACATATATTGCCAGTACGGTAGTATTTATTCATATTTCTCTAGGGCAGTCCACACAGACCTATGGTAGGGTGTTCGGACGATTTTGAAAGTTGCTCCGATCTCCTCAACTTTAGTCTCATTGGAAAGAGTAGGATAAACTAGCCGGGAAATATATAAGGTTTGTCTAAATCCGACCAGGCGTTCAAGAGTTATGATTGTTTGAAGTGCGCTTGTTGGCACTTTTGCTGGAACAGTTTTGATGCAGGCCAGTGGCACAAAACCGGGAAATTCAAAACCAACTAGAACAAGGTGAAAATCAATTTCGTTCAGGGTCTTTCAAATTTTCACAGATGATAGCCAATAGAGAGCTTCCATCACTTGACCAATTTTTTTGGTATTCCATCTAGCCAAATTCAAATTACGCCCATAGCAACCACCATAGCAACGCATACAAATTAGTCGAAATAAATGCGAAAGATGTAACCCTTCACAGGCTGAAGCTAATTGGAATACGGGTACTACAAAGACACATGACCAGGAGGAGATTACAGTTATCTACCCCATGTAGATGAAGAATCCAAGAAAATAGCATACGCACTCAGCCGAGACGGCACCCGCACCCGGGCATGTTGCGCCGCGGGACCGGATGCATGCAGCCAATTAATTAACAGGTATGCTGCACCATTGCAACACGATGTAAGCTTCAGCCAGGCCAAGGCAGCAGCAGTCCTGCTAATCATCAGCTTTAGAAGGACAACTTGTTCCCAGTCATATACGACGCGTGCAGCACTTCGGGGCAATTGGTGTCGCACGTCACATGTTATTCATTCATACGATTTGCACAATCAACAGACAGTTCATTTATCGGATGATCGTGCAAGCGTAATTTGGATGTAAATTATAAAGTCGACAAATACACTGGCCCTACATTCCCCATGCTATGTGGATGACAATGTACTCCAGACACGGTGCATACAGCATTGCGTAGCTGCACTGTGAGAGCGCGGTGCAATTTTGCAAATCCTCAGAGTGTCAGATTTTCAGCTGCATCATGATTGAACGCAGTATTGGCAGGAAATCTGTTCTTGACCAATTTGTCTGCACAATGGCTTTATCCACTCTCCTATATGATACAGCGACCAGAGATTTATCTGATGTGGTAGCTCAGGGAAACTACAAATAAACAGCACTACAGCCAAGTCCATCAACTCCATGTACATGTACATGTACTCCGTACATTTGGTATCTTGGCGCGAATCGATCGCTCATAGAACAAGAACACAGCATCGTAGAGCCTCCAAATTTCACACACTGCGTAGTTTTTCGACGCTGAAGACGATGGAATGGTCGCCGGCGTTGCGACCGGCCCAGAACAGGCCGAAATCGACACCCTGAAGTTGCGCAGGGCGTAACATTGCTAAAATTCGTCGTGTGGAAACGGGACTTACGGTCTCAACAGCAGAGACATCTCCTCTTTCCAGCAAAGAAACAAACTCGTCCTGAGCTGCTAAAATGTTACCTTGCCAAGGCAAGAAGCACAGTGATGTACGATTGTGCCACGGACCCCGTACAAAACTGTTTCCACTCAAAATGCGCCTGGGTTCGAGGCACCGAACACCCTACCTATGGTCTCCTTACGGGATACCCTCGCCAATCTAGGATTGCAATATGACGAGTACAGAATAAATATGAAATAATTGGTCGAGGCAACTCGAATAGATTGCTCAATAGCACACGACTGGGCAGATCAATAAGCACCCATACACACCCGCATACACACAGGCACACAAACACACACACACACACACACACACACTCACACACACTTGTACTTGTACTTGTTGCTCACTGCCAAAACTGGTCACGTGGGTCTCCCCGGGAGAGGGGAGAGAGACTCAAAAGGAATCTTGGAAAGATGACTCAATTGGCCATTGAACCACCCAGCGGCCGACACCCCCTGAAATCCCCAAACTAGGGTGGACTTGAAATGATCCCACTTATGGGCTCACCACACCTCAGTAAGTGGGTGAGGACAAGGTGCAGAAAAAAGGATTTACGGCATCAGGGTATCCGTCCCGGGATCCAACTGCAGGTACCCCTGCCCCCAGTGAAGGTAATACTTGGTACTAGTGTGGGTGGCTAAATCAGAGTGGATCTGATATAAGCTTCACTAGCACCATTGATTACACAAGAGTTAATCTAGCCAGAAGCACTCCATGGAGTACATGTGCCAGCTAGTTCGGTTGGCGGGTACACTTATGCCAGATAGGTTGGGAACGAGCACCATCTGCAACTAGGAACTGCCCATAGGCATAGCTTAGAACATGCACACATATTGAATGAAAGTAAACATTTAAATTTTATAACAAAACGTGATAAAGCTTATCATTAGGTCGTTGAATGTCGGTATCACATGAGTCAGTATTGTGCTAGCTGTTGTCACTTCTGACCACACAAGATCTTGCTTATATTTGTTAGTGTTGTACTCAAACTGCGGTTTTTCCGTCGAAAATCCAATTTATGCGACTCTAGATGGGTGAGAATGGTGATCTTATTGTGCATATTTCAATTCATTGTTGTTCAATTCATCATGACTTTGGGTCGGCATCACGTTTTGCTCTAATGATAGCTAGTTTTGATGTAATGTGCTATTTACTGCAGACTATGCATCCTGGAGTCAATGGTCAGCGTGTACAGCGTCATGCGGTGAGGGCATGCAGAAGCGTACGCGATGCTGCAAAGGAACCGTTTCTGCGTGCATGGCGATGCCGCCGATTCTGCAGACCAGGACGTGTCGGAGCAGTAGCCGATGCCCAGGTGGATGTAAGTAGAGACGGCTGGTCTGGCACGGGGCGTTCATGTTTTATGTGAGTGTGGTTTGTCTTATGTAGCAGTCTGTGTGTGTGTGTGGGGGGGGGGGGGGTGTATGTGTGTGTGTGTGTGTGTGTGTGTGTGTGTGTATGTCTGTGTGTGTGCGTGTGTGTGTGTTGGCCGCTAGCCTGCGGAGCGTGCTGCATACCGTATTCAACCCACCTACCCCATGTCTGTCGGCCCCTCGTATGAGGGGTCTTGTGACCGCCTTACGGCAATGTTCAGGACAGGACAGGACAGGTGTATGTTATCTTGTGAGTGCACTGTGACAGAAGTGTGCTCCCATTGCTGTAGCTGACCACGTGGGGCAAAATATGAGAAACAAACACGGCTCGCGTCAGACTCAGTGGAACTGAGTTTCCGCATCCGGCTTACAAGAGACGTTCGTTGAACTGAGTTCCCTGTAGATTGCTGTATGAATGCTCAAATGACGTTTATGCCACGTGGATTCGGTGTTACCTCAGCTTATAAGATATGAAGTAAAGGTGGGGAGATTTCCTGCAGTTTCATAAACAGTTAAGACTTAAGAGTAGAGCCCACACGCTCTCTTCCATTAACACTGCAATGATTCAACTCATTTCACAATACAGTCAGACCTCGCATAACCGCACACATTCGTTTTCCACAAAAATATCCGGATAGACGAGGGAACCGGATAATCGAACGCACATACTGTATGTATGCATGGCATATGCTGTAAATCGGTAACCAATGATTTTCTTCCGGATGGCGAGGGATCCGGATAAAAGAGGACCGGATAAGTGAGGTCGGACTGTATTACAACGTTTCGGCAAATTGCATATACGATATGTTCGTGAAATGTTCCCTGTGCAGATTACTACAGTCCGTGGGGTGCCTGGTCACACTGCTCTCACAGCTGTGGTGATGGCGTGAGCTATCGCAAGCGCTGCTGCCGTGGGTCGCCGATCCTGTGCATCTACCGGCCACCGCAGATGGAGACGATGGCGTGCAATCTTGGCCTCTGCGCAACGCCAGGTAGGAGATGTTACGTGCAGTGTACAGTGTTTGTTGCAGCATTGTCTC